GTACTCAATCCATGGTTGCAGTCTCGGCCTACTGCACTCAGGCTATTGGAGCACATGAGCACCTGCTACCAGAGAGGCCTGGAGCACCAGCTCTCCAGCCGTGGTGAGCTCCCAAGTTTTGATGCTGCCGTTCTCATCCGCGCTCAGCAAACACCTTCAGGCACCACTACCTTGAGATGTCCAACCCCAACTTTGAACAAGGCAGAAAAAATGGAATCCCAAGGCGCATGGTCTCGGCGCAGAACTGGAGAGCCAGAATACCACTCACGTGTGCCTCTAGCACAGCAGCAAGTCGGTTGAACTTGCCGTCCTGCACGGTTGCGTCACTGCCAGTTGTCCAGTGGCATAGCAGGTCTGGCTATGGGCAATTCAAGCTGCATAATTTGGGGGTGTGCGGCAATTGGCAGAGAAAGCGTGCGTCTGACGCTAACGGGAGTCGACCGACATGTCCTTGAAGCGAAACACGTGAATGGCCTCAGCAGGCGCTTGGGATCTTGGCACTGCATGTTGTGCGCGCATGTAGCAGCAATCTCCCAAGATTACGGTAGCACACCACAGTGTTAAAGTCCGGAATCTGCCAAACCTTTCTCTCCCGCCAGCAAGCTGGACCTGACTCCCTGTTCCCTACAAATGACGAAAATGGTGGAATCGCACAGGATGCTGCTTATGGCCTCTCGTTGGACTGGTATTCGCATTGGACTGTCCTCTGCCAAAAATCGAAGCCGCTATGTGGGGCAGTTTTTCCCGTGAGGAGTACTAGCCTTTTTACAGTGCCCCGGACTACGCTGTGCCGCTCCCGGCTGCGCCGCGAAACGTACTCTGCATTACAGCAATTTGTAGGAAATTGGGAATCACCCTGCTGAACGAACCATTTTGGAGTAAGTCGTGCATTAGGGTTCTTAATGGAGTCTAAGCTTTTTTGTTGGAGAGGTTCAGGCCTTAGTTATAGGTGGCCTCTTAGCTTGCTATGCCCAAATAGTAGTGAATAAGTGGTCACTTCTTGTCGGAAAGAGTGCCGCCCTAGGCTGCGCCGCGAAATGCCCTACAGCTTTGGGAATTGGAAATCACCCTGCTGGAAAAAACGGGCTATTTTAGGGTTGTATTCAGGTTTCTCGATAGGGTCTAAGCTTTTTACCCTCACAAGCACGAAATGCAGCATGTACTACGCATGCCGAGAAACCCCGTCGTCGCCAGCGCTAAGTACGAGTCCAGAGGCTGGGTCAAATTCCATGCATCTGACCCACCCCGCGTGGATCTCCACCTCGAACCAGCTGCCAGAAAACTTCTACATGACATCATGAGCCAATCAGGCACCCAGCATCCATGCAACATCGCCAGCGATCAGACGACAGTGAACCAAGCCTCACTGCTCACGACGCGGAGGGCGCCAGGAGCATAGCGCCACAGCCGCAATGTCCCATCCCTTCCAGAGCTGACGGACAAGTTCTGGTCAATGTCTGTACCTTGATTCAGAGGTTATTGGTCACTGATTCCAATGTCAGAGAGGGTTGTACTGCAAGCATAAGATTGATGCGTGGCAGGGCGGTTGATTTCTTGCTGGTCCACGGACGCTTGCAAGAATATCATAGACAGGTTTTTACATGCGCGTGTACAACCCTGCTGCCTACAGCCTACACCTCCAATGATTCTGGCAACTGCTTGAATGTTGCGTACCTTTTGTGAATCCTGCTATTTCTGCCGCATGCAACCAAACTAAAAACTGTTGGATCCGAGGCCCCAGGCCTGGCGTTTGGGGTAAGAGACCTCGTTTCGGCCTGTAGCCCTGCAGTGCCCTGCCAAACTCCATGGAAGGCTCAGGCTTCAGTTGTTCCCCCGAGGTCCTGGGATGGCCAGCATTGCGCCCAGCACGCATATGCAAGGCTCCATGCTTTAGGGTGCTGGGGTTACTGCAGCAGCTCTTACCATATACCAGAACACGCCCAGCGCTAAGCTGCTAACAGTCAGCAGCTAACCTGTAATCAGAAGATTGACTGCGTGGACTGAAGCACCCATTTGCTATACCAGGGCCGGATTGAGCCAAAGACCAATGGTATCCCTCAGGTACACACCAAAAGAACTATATGTCACAGTTCCTGTACCCCTGACCCCCCGTACCGCCCTGATCCCTCATGGCAAGACTGCGCGAGCTTGGTTGAAGCCAGGCCGAGGCAGCGCTAATGCTAACAGCTTGTCCAGCTTTCAGCGCCTTCAACGCAGACAAGTTGTCCGCTGTTGGTCAACCGCCATGAACAACATCCATGCCAAGATGCAAAGTGCAGTAATGCCCTCTGGGTGGGCATCCGTGGACGTAGCAAGTAGTGCGAACGCACCCAAGCTGTTGACGCGCCATGCGCGGATAAGACCGTCCAACCCTGCCGTAATGAGGAGCCTGGCACTGCGAAGGGCACCATGTTCTAGCAGACTGGCATGGCCCTGCCTGCTGCTCGGGTGAAACTGCAATGCCACCACAAAGTCTCTGTGCGCTTCCGGTTGCGATCCGAACAAGGACAACTCTTCACCGTCGAGCTCCCACGCTTTGATACAGCAGTCCTGGCAAAGCAGCAAGCTGCCATCATCCTGGGACCCTGCGCTCATGTCGAGACTGTGGATTGTGAATTTTCTAGAGGTCTGAATCACGCTTCCAGTCTTCCACAAGAAAGGATTTTTACCGATCTTGGACTTCTTCAGCGACTGACGCAAGTCTCCTTCCTGGAACCCCTTTCAAGAGGGTGTTGTGCGTAGACTTGTGAACTGCTCGAACTAGGAATTTACTAGTCCGATGCACCACACGTCCTGTGGCTGAACGTGTGACTCCAAAGGCCCTCGATCTTGGAATGCTTCTTTCTGCAGTTCTGCAATGGTGGTAATTTGCAATGGTGGTAATGGTGGCCGTGAAGGGGAGCTAGAAAATGCCAGGGGCGGGGACATGTCAAGGAGCACTGCTGTCACGGCGGCTGCTGTTGCTACTGGCTCAGTCAGCACAGTGCCCAGCATTGAGTTTGTCCCGTTTACCTCCCCATACAGTCGCACCGCATCACCACGTCCAGAAGGAGTGACAGCTGCTCTCACGATCTTGAGATTTTCAACAAGTTCTAGTATGTGCTTGGGCTTGGCACAAAGTGGTAGGGGTAGGAGTGATTGCGCGTGTAAACAACCCAAGGTCGAGGGCGATGCGGGGAAGATGCCTGTGATCTTTTTGTTGCGGATGTCTGCCGTCAAATGGCGCTTCGCGAGATTGTTTCATGCTAGTGGCTGGTCCTATCTAGATTCCACGGAAACAACAAGTTCAAGGAGGGACGGCTGCGGTGATGTTCGCACCTCGTGTCAGACGGCGGGATGCAGCAGGGGGGAACCGCCTTGTTGGCAGGATTTGACAGACCGGCCTTGCCAGAGCTGAAGATGAGGCCGCTCGCCGCATCAAAGTGCATGGCATAGATAGTGTCCTCAAGACTCAATGCCACACGTTCATTCACATGGCTTTCCAGGTGTCTTTCCAATGCCTGTGACAAATGAAGGAAACTGAAGGCTGAAGAATGATGCCCAGCGGCCCGGTGAGCATCTGTCCAAGATATGCGTGGCTTCGCCGGCGTGTAGGCGTCCAAGACGTGGATACCTTTGGAACAGTCTTTTCGGCCCTGAAGAATTTTGTTCTAGATGGAGAAAATGCTTTCAAAAAGTTTCCAGTTTCTCACTGTTGGATCCAAGACGCTGCGGCCAGAAGAGACAGCCAAGAAACCGGATGGGCCTTCCACAACTATCCTGGTGTCCTGGCATCTCCAACATACAGCACGCCAAATTCCAGGCCGAAAGACTTCACATGGGCGCATTCCAGGCCTCAGCAAAACCTTCACAGCTCCAGAGGTGGCTCACCTGGGCAGGCACTGTGCCCCTTAGACTGCGATGCAATTTGCGCATCATCTACCATACACTTGCACCATGCCGCATTTGATGCAAATAGACAATGATCTGGGCACTAGTGTCTTGCTGACGGAGAAGGCATAGCAACCTTTGCCGATGGCCAGGTACACCTCGCACAATGGGCAAACCGATACCAATGAAGGCAAAGTTTTCAGGAGGAGGGAGGGCAGATGTAACCTCCAAGCATGATGTTATTCGTACCATGACCGTGCAGGGGTAGCGAGCGGTGTAGGAGGTGATAGGTTTTTGGTGCAACCACCAAGCGTGATGTTCTGTGTAGTGGGGAAGGAGTGATGTCATTTGACAACAACCATGCAGCTTGTGAAACATACCGTGGCCAGGCAAAGGTAACGAGCGGAGCCATTGAAAGCAAGTCAACCAATGCGTCAGCGGATGTATGAACGGTCCTAAGAAATTCCCAAAGGCTGCATTTCCTGCGAAAGAATCCATTTCGACCCCGCCACCCTTGACTCAACTCCCACACCAAGCAGCTCACAGGGAAACAAACGATACCATGTCGAACCCAGACCTTGTCTGCCGCCCCATACGGCTAAAGCCGGCTTTCGTCATGCGTGTACTACACAAAGGGTGTTGGGAATATGTTTCTGGCCGAAAGTTTTTTGGCTTTCTTTGAGTTGAAGGAGCGACGGCCTTGGCTTCCTTGCTCGACCAGCACAGGCGGGACATGCCACGTGAAACATACCAGCTCAGCTACGGCACTAACGCCACAGGTAAAGGTCTAGAGTCCAGTGTTTTGGCAATACTCCATCAAGCAAGTTGGTTAGAACAAGTGCCTCTAAATCTCTAACAATCACCATCGCCCGGCAGCTTTGTCACTGCCGCCGAGCTGCCGAAATACGTACACAAAAAAAAAGGCTCAAGTGCTTGGAGACACAAGGGCCAACACCCACAACAGCTCACAAGATGCGGCCGAGCCACGCTAGAGCCAAAAACTCGGAGAGGGGCACATTCAGTTCTTGTGTGTAGCATGAACATCTCAGCAGTACAGCTACATTCTTATATCGCATGTTGCCACAACTATCCCACCAAGGCCACAGTTACGAGTGAGTTTCAACACAATCCTGCTTCGGCGGTTTGCTAGCTGTGGCAGTGCCCACTGGCGCCGCAGTGGCTGGGGCTGCGTTGACTGCCGCCGTGCCCGGAGCGATCAAGCCTGACGAGTTCACAAATGCAGAACCAGAAGACCCGGTTCTCCAGCAGGACAGACTCAGAATGCAAGCTGCAGTTTTCAAAGCGTACAAGTGAGCAAGAAAAGCTCAGCAACTTTCCGTCCTGCCTATTAGACATCCCGCTCTGGGAATGTGAGGCCCCAGAGCATACAAGGAATCTTTGAGAGGCGCGATGTCCTTGAACAATGCCAGTAGTCGCACCAACACTAGGTTCAGGAATGCAAGCTTGAAGAGACATCAGTGCTTCTTGTTTGTCGCATGATAGCACATATGCAGCAGCACCCAAGGAAGTCCTCCCCACAAGGCATGACGTAAAGGGCCAGTGAGCCATCAAGTCTGGCCACTCCCGCCCTGCTCTTCGCACGGAAGTACCTGATATAACTGCTCATGACAACTCTTCGCGCCGCAGCTCTATTGCAGGCAGCTTCTTGCACATCGACACATACATGTGGCAAGCTCTTCTTTGTTTTGGTTCCAAGTCTTCGCATGTCAAGCGAGACATGAAGCACTTGTTGTACTCTTCAAAGCTCGCCTGCCGCGCAACGCGAAAGATCATGATGATGATGATGATAATGATGATAATGATGATGATGATGACGGTGATGGCACGGCGGCTGCGGTGGCGGCGGCGGCATGGTGGAACCGAAATGGCGCACATGATCAAAGAACAAAGCAGCAGCAGTTGGACAATGGCAATAACTGCAACGGTGGTTGGTAGCATTGGTGATACGAAGAAGAAGAAGAACTGGCAGGTTGAGGAAGGATGATACTAGTGAGGCTGCAAACTTCAACAGCTAATCGAACTGCCAGCTCCTCGCACTCATTCATCTGGATGTTCAGAAGCGAAGAGTAACATCAGAGGCAGCAGTATCGGCAGCAGCAGTGGTAGCATCATCAGCAGCAGCAGGAGTGGCCTGGGCAGCAGGAGAAACAGCAGCCGTAGCTCTTCTTGATATAGGGATAGCAGTACTAGCAGCAGCAGCAGCAGCAGCAGTACTTGCGACAGTGCGAGTAGTACCAGCAATACTAATGGTACTAGCACTAGTGGTGCCCGGACTACAGGGGATAATGGTACCACTGGTAGCGCGAATAGAACTAGCCATACTACTAGTACTAGCAATACTTCTTATTGGTAGGACTAGTAGTGCCAGTAGTCCTAGTAGTATCACTAGTGCTTCCAATGCCGCTAGCACGTATAACAGTAGGAAGGATGAAATTGACTGCGCAACGCAATGTTTCGAAAAGAGCGACTCATGGGAGGTAGGAGAAGTCCTACTGAAGAAGTTTTGGGCTGCACAGTCCTACATGTTGAGAATGCCAGGAGGTAAGGGCTGGAATCATGTTTGGCATCGCACGTTTTGACGTGAATTGCAGTTTGGAGAATGTGGTCACTGCAAACTGAAGGGCTTTGGCAACACGTGATATTGAAATCTTGCGCCATGACCAAACGGTGCCTGGGTCGTCAGGCAGCTGACACGTGACGTAGGTACCCACAATCGTTTTTACCAGAGACCCTGAAACCTGAAGCAACATAGAGAGGCTCCAAATGCTTAACACTTGAGGCCGAACATACAAAACACAAATTAGGGATCCCAATGGTGCGATCGCCAAAACCTTGTACTAGTGGGGCGCACCTTGAACTACTGGGGCAAGCCTGAAGACAACAAATTTCGAAGCCTTGGACTACTGAGATGTACATTGGACTAGCGGGGTGGGTCTGAACAAATGAACACTCTTCAAGCCCGTGGACCTATCAGGCATAGGGTTTAGGGTTTGTGGTTTAGGAAAAACGGAAAGAACTGACAAAAAAAGAACGCTCCTTGGACTAAGGGCATGCCTTGGACTGACGCAACATTGAAAACAAGAGACATCGCTGAAAATACCAGCGCAAATGGGCTGGCCGGAGAACTCTGACACTTTTCGAATGTGCCCAAAACGGTCACTCAAAACAAGCATGCAAAGAAGTAGTAGGAAATGCTGCAAGAAGCTGTAGTTGGGCTTCATGGAATCCAAACAAGAAGAAAACGGACGAAAATTCCACCCTGACCTCCGAAGCATACAAGTAGCAAAAGCAAGAAGCACCCGGAAGCAGAAAGTACTGCAAATATCTGCGAATGCCAACCATCATGGGGCGCAAGACCCGCATGTTTGAGGCTTTGAGGCTGGAATAGCCAATTATCAAATACACTAGGTTTGCCGTGGTGGTGGTGGCGGCGGCGGCGGCGGTGGTGGTGGTGGTGGGGGCGGCGGCGGCGGCGGGTGGTGGTGGCGGTGATGGTGTGGGGGTTGGGGGGGGGTAGGGGGGGATATCAAAAACAGCAGCAATATAATCACTAACGTCGTTGTCAATCGCCTGATGTTTTCAAGTGCTGTTTACAATTTCAGGGTTTGGGCAAGCTTCTGCGCGCACCGTGTTTTCCACGATAAACTGCATTCTTGCTGGGACTTCTTTCATCTTCTTTCTGCGTTGCAATTCGGCCTTGCAATTGACTTCAGGGAAAAAATCAATGAGCGTTCTTGGCTTGACGACGGATCTTCCAGTCCACAGGCCGTGATATATTTTTCCGTTTTCCTGCATACGCTGCAAGAGCAGATAACGTTTGTTGTTGGGCCTGTTGGGTGAGTTCCATGACCAGAGCATTCCCGCCCAAACCATAATAACGTTCGTTATTTAATGGGTTCGTTCACCACGGCATCCATGCCCAAATAATGAATATCCGTGGCCGTTTCCACAGCACATTCATCGATATCGCATCGGTATCGTTCTCGAAACGATGCTAAAACGTCAAAAAACAAATATTGAACCGCATCGACATCGAACTGCTAACCACCTTCCAGGCCCTGAGCCCCTCCTCCCCCTTCCCTCCATCCCAGCCCCTCCTCCCCCCTCCATCCAGCCTCCGCCTCCATCCCTTCATCCAGCCCTCCATTCCCCGACCAGCCAGCCCCCGCATCCAGCCAGCCCCCTCCAGCCCCCTTGCAGGGGACGGGGCATGGAGGTGGATGGAGGGTGGGCTGACACAGCTATGGAGAGAAGGGGCGCTGGTCGGAGGGGTGGAGTGGTGGGGGAAGGTGGAGGGGGTGGGTCAGTAGCAATACCTAGCAATACTCTATCCACTTCTTGTTGGTAGGTATCGGGTATCGATCGAATCGATAATCGATACACTGCAACATGAATATCACCCGCTGTTTAGTGCAGACGCTTGCTATTGCATCCATGCCCAAACTATACATTAACCGTCATCTTCAAAATGAGTCTGAGGACCAGAGCATTCATGCCCAGACATTTGCTGACACTATTCTTCTGCCACAGCATTCCAAAAATCCATTCTTGCCGCATATTGAGGGCTTATACCGTACACACCTCTGTATGTGCACATTTTTACTTCGTGCTTGCATTATCCAGATGCTTGGGCCATGCGCACATGGAGGGCTTTAAAGACCCTAGAATAGCCGTCTCTGTTTCCGCAAAAACGCCCCATGTGCTTACCTGCATTGGGCTCATGATATCACCATGGTTGGGGCTTTCGTACTTCATACGGTATGGGGGGCGCGGGGGCTTAAAGCTCAAAGTTCTAAAAAGGAACTTCCAGATTGCGCCTTCAAGGACCCAACTTGGCTCTGCTTGAAAACGAAGTAGTTTGTCCGGGAGTGTGGAGCCTTTCTTTTTGCCCCGCAAAACGCGCTTCGTATTCTAAAGCGACCTCCTACGACTTTACCTATTAGGAGCACCAAGAGGAAGAGGAGGAGTAGCTACAGCAGTGGTAATAGCAGTAGTGTTAGCAAGAGCAGTAGCAGCAACAGCAGTAGTGATGATAAAGATCGGAAATCGTGTAAAAAATAACAATGGAAATCACTCGATGTGGTCTGGACTAGTCTGGTCTGCATTGCGCGATCTCGTCGTCCCTACGTAAACTCTTCTTGCGTGCAATCTCGTGCGATTTCGTGCCATCTCGCGCGCGCAAAATTCTAGACTGGATTAGTGATAACACATTAAATGCTGCTTAGTAGCAGCTTCAGAACCCGTAGTAGCTTAAAACCAGCAGCTTCTGGAGTCACAGTTGTAATTAATAGCTGCGGAAGTAGCAGTAGAAGCAAGAGTAGCAGCAACAGTAGCAGCAATAGTAAGAGTAGCGGGAGTATGTACACATAAACAGATTGATTGATTTCAGGAACGGATCCTCCACGTGTGGGTAACACAGGCGAAGCTCGTGGCCCTCTTGCCTGCTCCATGATGCTATTCCTCAGGCCAAGATCATGCTGCGCAGGCCCCTTCTGCACGCAACTACTGCCTTTGAAACTAGTTCCGTTTTGTGATGTCTTTGCATTTGTCCTTGTGAATCTGTCTGCTGCAACATCTGCTGTTACAATCAATAATCCAAAAGTTTCAGATCCTGCATCTCCACGAATCAGTCTGCCAGCAATTGGTCACTCCGCTGGTGCTAGGTGCCGCGCGGCACAAGAGAAAGAATGGAACCGCTTGCAACCTGCTTGCGTGAGAGAGACCGTGAGGTGGATGCTGGATCAGTTTGCCTCCTACTTTTCAGGACGGTTGTGAAAACATGCCGGAGGCAATTCGCACTCTAAGAGACCTAACTGAGATGCTACACTGCACCTTGCAAAACACCGTATGCCTGCCTTCTTCGCTACTTCGTCGAAGGGGACGCGGTGGGTGATGTCCTAAAGCTGTCAGGAGCAACTCTCACTGCTGCATATCCTCGAAGAAAGCTGACCCGGGGCAGCTATGGTGTCCAGGGCACACAGGCTAACAACAGCTGACACTCGCTTCGATTCAAGATTGTTAGCGGCACCTGAAGCCACCGGCTACACAAACATACGCAGACCTCACTCGAGCTCCTGCAGAAAGCAATCACTTAGCTCGGGTTCGAACCGCTACGCTGGAGTTGGCTGCTGCCGATCGCAACACCACCTTCGAAAGTCCAACGTTTTTGCACATGAATGCAGGGAGGTTGTCGCACTGCGCTCGATGCAAATCAATGAATATAATGCTCGCATTCGCGCCCATTTTGTTTCAATCTTTCTTGCGCACTTCCCGCTGACCACAGTCCTCAGAGAAATGCAACAAGATTTTGGGAAGATGCACCCTAGTGCCCAACACCACAAACGTTCACCTCTCCCAAGACACCAAGCATCAAGAGGCTGCAAACTGAGCGGGGGGGAAACATCAGTTTGCATCAGACATCAGTTTAAATGGCCAGGACTCCACGAGCAGGCCGAGCGCTGAGAGAGAAGCGAGGCCCAGGACTGCCTGGCTCCCAGACAAACATGGAGACATTGAACCGTTGACAGCCTCTGACAGTCTCTGACAGTATATCAGTTGGCACTTCGTCCTGGAAACATCAACCTCTGGATGGTACTTTCCAAGGCCACGTGCCTCGTCCGAGGCCGGATCCTCAGCGCCGGGAAGAAATCGTTCCTGCAGTCGATCATCGGGGGGCGTCCGTTGTTGGGTAAGGATCAAGGTGGGTATTCAACAATTGGAATGAAAGGTGTCATGTCGCGCGCCGGATATTTAATTATCTGACAAGATTGACATATATTGACAAACTGAAACTGCTCGCACAGAATCATCATAGGGCAGTAAGCGTCAGTTCGTGAGTATCATGAGCTTCCATGAACCTCAAATAACCCCGCAGCAGTGTCATCAACAAATGTCCTCAGGAATGCCTGTCACGGCCACAGCGCAGATCCTGTCACCAACGGCCACGAGCACCTCATAGGAGTCGAATACGTGCCTCCCAGCAACCGTCTCGTAGACCACCCCAGCTGCGACCGTCGGGAGCGGGCCAAGCTTTGTCAGATAGGCTTCTCGCAACTCACAGTCAGAGGATCCAGTGTCCACCAAGGCCATGTTCACGAAAGAGCCAGCCGCTTGTGGCTTCAGTGGCGACATGAAGGTACATGGCACGTAAGTTACAGGAATTATTGGCTTGCCGTGCGGGTCAACTTCGCTAGGCTGAGAATCTGCAATCTTTGGCAGACCCTCCAAAATGAGTGGCATTGCGCAGCCCGTGCCCGGCAGCCATCGCGGTTGCAAGGCAGCCTGGCCGTGCCTGTAAGATGACCACATCTGACTCAGTGACCCCACAAACGGAGCCGACGGAGGAAATGTAGCCAATGGTCTTGAGCTGGCCACATGCAGCTGTCCCATCTGAAGGTACGACGAAGCTCCTTCGCAGGTCAGCCCGTTTGCCTCAGAGACAAAAAATCAGGAAGGCTTCCCTGTAAGCCTGAAATTTTGTAATCTCAGTAGCCAAGCCATTTAGAAGCACCTGAAGTAAATCGGGTGCAGGGCTCCAGGCAGCTTCCGAAATGAGTGGCCACCCTTCTAAAAACCTTCGCACACTCCTGTAGCCAGTCCATAGCAGGAAGCTTGCTAACAACCTTGACAACAATACCCAAATGCGCGGCCTCTTTCGAAAATTCCTTGCATCCCAAGTGCCTTGGGAACCAAATTGCGTACGGGGCAGTCGACCACTAGGCCCAAGGCCGCGATTGCCATGTGCCCCAGCAAGGCCTGCGCCGCACAGCACTTTCTCACTGGCTCTGCGATCGAGCAGGCAAGTGGTGAAGAGGAGTGGTTAAAAAAAAATTGTCCAGGTCATCATGGAACCGCTGGCCTTGCTTGTCTACTGAGCCTACTTTATCTTGGCAACGTCTCTTGGGAACCAAGAGATGTGGTGCGCTGCTTTCACAAAGTGAGCAAGTCTGCAACGGCCTCGTCTGAGCAAGGCTCCTCAGCTCCAGCCTGGAACCGCTCCTGCTACCAAGGACTTGTCAAGGCTCACAGCTGGGACAGCTGGCAGATCCCTTGCAATCCCTTTTGAAGGTTCAACCCTTTGTGGGATCCAGCCTCCGGGACGACGGTGAGCACTGCAGCACATCGATGACCATCAACAGTCAGCACAACCTCCAGGGCTGCGGAGCGTAGGTTCTTACAGGAATAGTCACATAGTCGTTTTCCAAGCTGCTGATTGACCAAACCTCGTAAGCATCGTAGGCTTCTCCGCCAGTTGAGGTCTCGTACATCACCTCAGAGAAGGCTGCGAGCTTCGGAGGCTTCTCAGCTTGCTTGCAGCTGAGGCACCCCCCGTTCCACGATGGGGAGTTCTGGAAGGCGCCTGAGCAAACCCTCCCTGAGCTCGCAGTCGGAGGAGCCAGTGTCGACCAGCGCGCGTTCTACAACCTGGACATGCGCAACCCGCATCCCCACCCGCTGCTGCTCGTGCTTGCATGTTCCCTTTTCCAATCAGAGGTACGATGCTCGGACCGTCTGGTGCACTGGGCGCAGAGAAGATGCAACGGGCAAAGACAAGGCCGCTGTTCGGCCGGCGGACGCGCCCTGGACTGCTGTGTACCGGTTTGGCCTACATGGGCCAAGGGCCAAGGCCAGCGGGTATGACATGCTGAGCCGGGAGGAGGGAATGTTCACCTACTGGTGCATAGATGCCTGCGCTGTGGCTGCGGGCAATGGCACCGCAGAGCGCACATGGCGCAGCCATCGCGGGGCCCCACCATTCACTGAAGGCTCCTTCCGAGGTTCTGCCGGAGGCTCCTCCGACTCCTCGGCGCCACCTCAAAACTCAACTACATAAGTCCATGTCCGCATGCGCACGTGTGGTCAACTGGCTTACCAGATGGTACCTGGGCACATGGGTTGCTTGAGCAAACACGGCAGCTGCCTTCAAATTAGTCCTGTCCTTACCCGCTGGCCTGCCACTCCTAGCGAAGCTATCCAGTCTGTGAGCATTACCCCAGGCCTCTGCCAAATGCCAAGCCCATGGCTGCCGGCAGCACTGCGTTATTGCAGCGGTATTTCAAGGCCAGGCCCCTTTGGCAGTCCTACATGTGCTCATTGCTCATTGCTCATGTGTGAATTTGCGTCCGATGACCCGTGGATCCTGCTAGATGTCTTTGAGCCACAGCTGAGGCATACGTGTTGGCCAGCATGCATGTCCAGAGTCTAGGACGCGCTCAATGCACGCACCCCTAACACAGAACCGAATTGACATGCAGCCCTGCCGCCTCGACATCTGCTACTTTGCCCTGGATTAGCGCAGCCCGGTAGGGAGTCTTCTTGGCCATGTTCCGGGCCTTGGCACATCGCTTGAGGCTTCGATCCAGGCTCCAGCGGCAGAAAGAACCCTCACCCAATTTATGCAAATTTCCTGAGGCAATGCTGAAGAGCTATCCTTGTAGCTCAGGCCCCCTGCGAGCGTGATAACGCCGGTCCAGGCAGGAGCAGATGCCTTAGACTTCTTGCTAGAGAGCAAGCTTTGTGCTTGCCGCATCCGGACCATCCCCATTCTTCCAAGCCAGCTACCTGCGCAAACGGCGCCATCATGGTGGCCTGCGAGACAGCTCAGGGAGGGATGATAACAGCCTCAATCATGACACATCTGCGAAGCCAGCTGTCATGGCTTTTGCTTGGTGCTATAGCCTCCTAGCTTGGGAAGCCAGCTAGGTCCCCTGAATGTTGGCCCAGTGACGGCAAGGCTGTGTGATTGAGATTTTTCAGTCTCGGCCTGACCCGGAGGCATCATCGATGCCGGCGGGGGTGGAGGCAGCGGCCCTTGCTGTTCACTTACTTGCCTAACCTTCCTTTATGCCCTCTCAGAAAATTTCTAGAAGAGGGTACGGCGATGTGTCGCTTTGCATCCGAATGCGGCACAGGGGATCTAGACTAGAATGAAGCGTCATTACAAAAAGAGAAGAGACCACACTTCCTGACTATCACTGGCCAGTCAGCTTGTCAAATGAGTCAGTCGCCGAAAGACGCTGAATTGGGTTCAAGTAATTGGACAGCAGTGCAACACACAACCCCAAACGCTCCCAGCACTGCAAGCGCAAAGCTTGGGCTCTGGCCGCTCCCCAGCACCGCAGCCGGGGAGGTGCCTGGAGACTCGGCCAATGTCTGGAGGATGGCCTCAATCTAAAAAAGCATACATGCGAAAAAGGAAGCTGAGGGGGCGTTGGGAGTGCAAGGTTCAGGGGTGGTCCGTGCTAGGGCCGTCAGGGGGTTGGTGACGTTCTGTGAAAGCCGTGCCCTGAATCTCGGAATAATTATGTTGCGGGCTCACATTTCAGGACTACCCAAACCCCAGGAAGGCTGCTTGCACGCTTCAGTCTCGTTTCACAGCTTCCACTTACAGTGCAAATGATACAGCTCTAGATACCTGAGTGCTGTGGTCCTCATGCGATTTGGATGCAGACCTGTCCCCGGGAGTGCCAAGAGTTTGTTTTTCACCTTTCTGCGCAGCTGAGGTGAAGCATGCAAGCTGGCAAGGCCTTCAACATGAAGGAAAATTCCGAATGCTGCGCTGCGCGGCCCCCATCACTCGGGCACATGGCCTTCGCTTGCGTGCACGCGCTTGAAGCTGCTGATTTCCTCCATGGGCACACACAGTAATCCCACAACTGCGCAGCCCACAGTGCAGAACCTGGCTCGTAGCGGGCAGTTTGCTGCATTCAGATTAATACACGGAGTCTCTGGAGCGCATGCAACCTCACATATCTGCCTGAAACAGATGCTGAATCATGCGCCAAGCGACAGGGATGAAGTGACAAGGAATGGCGTTGCGCCTTTGGAAGAAAACGGAGTCGCATGCTCTGAGAATCTTGTTGCAACGATGTTTCCGGCAATGTTGCCCACAGATCCTAAGACGTTAAGCAGGGAGAAAACACGCCCCTGCTGGGAAGCAGGCACAGCAAGCGTGGTCAGATGTTGGTAGCACACCTTCATCGTCCCACACACGGCCAGGAAGGTCAGTACATTTGAGATGTGGACCAGCTGGCCATAAAGCGAAGTATCTGGCTGCAAGAAGGCCAGTGCAGACGTAGCGCCTGCAATCATCGGCAAGGAACTGGCCGTAGCCCTGTGTCCCAGCAGCCGCGTCAGCGGGGGATATCCAAGAGTGCTCAGGATAATCAGGAGTTGGGAGACCAGCTGTAGCCATGCAAAATCATGTGAACCCAGCCCTAGTTTGCGGATGTGAAGCGGCCACAGAACTGTGACGACCTTGGTTGTGCATGTCTATCCGGCCTGTTGCACTGCTGGCCACCATGGTTTTCAAGTGTATATAACTTCCTTTCATCAACAGCAAAGCTGGCAAGACTTATGGGAATTTGGAGAGAAGGCCATCTTCAAACAGGTCTGAGGTAGAATCGAGAAGGCCCGCGAATCTCCTAGAGTCCTAGAATGTCCTAGACAATACGCAGACACCCTTGGCAGAGCGAACAGCAGCTCGTACGGATCACAATGACCAGCCAAATTGCTATTATAATACCTGATCGCGTGACTGGAGGTCAAGGGCATAACTACAGCTGAGCTGGTCACTGACACTGGTGCGCGAATACTCTACACTCGTCAAAGCGGCTGTCTCACCGAAGGTTTGGACGACACTCGTCAAAAGGAGCAAGATTACTTGCGATTTCTTCACGGGCTGTTCCGCTTTCTTCGCTTCCGCCTTGGTGTCATCATCCTGGCATGTCAATGCACGTCTCTGCAACCCCAACAGTAACCGACATAGCGACTGCGCAACTTTTCCAATGTTTGCAACTGCAGCCAAAATGTCGGACAGAGCTGATGCAGAAAATGGGCACTACATGCACTAGTGGTGCTGCAGTTGGTCCTGTGCCCATGCTGCCGGCTGAAATCGGACAACCAGGTAGATAAAGGCAACCACGCAGAAGATGCTGCACTCGCTCATGTGTATCCTTCCCCGAACCATGCCCATTCCCGGTACAGCCGAGAAGATGCAATGTCAGCCTAGAAGATGGTTGATAAAACACTGTGAAGGATGTACTTCTTGATAGAATGCACATTAATTACATCACGCAAAGCGAAAGCCCGGAAAAGCAGCTCCTGTACCGAACAAGCTTTTGCTCCACACCAGCAGCCTTCAGCACAGAGTCCACTGCTGGGTAGAGAGACGTTCCGATCAGCCTCAGGGTTGCCACTTGGACCTGAGGACAAGCAACTCTCAACGTGTCAAAATTCTTCTGCCGTGCAGTAGCATGTAATCCAAGCTAGCTGTAGAAGTGTGCTTCTACGCGAAATCACAGAAAAACAGCCACGCCAAGACTGGTACGTGCTGTGGCCTGGAAGCCCGTGACCACCACATGCCGCTGCTCCCGCGGTGTTGCCAGCGCAACATATGCCCCTACAACGTTCCAGAAGTTCACAGCGCCCAATGCCAACACCACACTTGCCAGGTACAGCCCCGACACGTCAGGTGCAAAGCCATGGATCAGGCAGCCAAATGTGCAGCAGAAGGCGGACAGTACAGCTGGAAGATAAGCGGAACGTCTATCCAGGAGCCAGCCATAGAGAGGGGATACCAGCAAGACTCCAGCCGTTCGGATGACGCCAAAATTGCCAATTTGGGCCTTCAAAATTCTTTAACCTCTTACTTTAAAAAACAGAACCGGCGTTGTTATTTCTGCCTTGAACTGACTATTCTTCTCAAGGTCCAGGGCACGGTTGAAGCTCCCACTTCAACTTGAAAGTAAGTGGTGACAGGCGCATGCAGCGCACCTCCAAAAGAGGCCACCCAAATGCCGAGCATTGGCACGAAGAGCTCTGGCCGACGGACCATACTAGCCAGCAAGCTGTACTGCTCGCGAACTGCATGGATGGCTTGCTCCATGGCGAGCGCAAGGGCTGCTGCCTCTGCCAGACGCTTGAATTAGAGTCATCAGACTCCCTGAAATTTGTGCCTATCTCAAGCAAGAATTCACAACGCTTGTGCAGCTTCTTGCGTTGCAAGTGCTGTCCACATGCCTGGCATGAGAACGGTTCTGATACCCAACACCACTTTCAGAACGTAAGACTAAGACAAAGCATGTAAACATAAGCCCTGGAAAACTCGCAACCTCCTGAGCACGTGACTCTGGCTACGGTGGGGTCCTTAAGCATCTGCGCCTGGACATCCTTTGAAGCGTGCACGAACCTCAGCAAGTCGACTCGAATTATCACATGCCTAGTTGTAAGTCCACATGTCGCAGGAAATGCAAGCAGTAGAACTGCCATCTTTGATAATAAAATCTGCCATCATACACTACCAATCATGCTGGTTTCTCACACTAGCAGGATAAGATGCGAGATCTGAGAAGCAGAGGAAGAGCATTCAAACCAAATATCATGACCTCATCAAAGCTCGAAGCAACCACCAAATCCAAGTAGCCGCACCAAACCTTTGACAGCTGCCCTGACCAGTCTCTGTGTGTATACGTAGCACTTTTCCTGTAAGTAAGCTGCTCCATGGCAATCTTCTTGTTGTTCGTTGACGCGGTTTTGCTGGACACCGGCCTGTAGCAACACGCCGCATGGTCAAAGAACAACTACTCCAATATGCTCAGCTGATTTCCCAGCCCAATGGAGCAACACCATCCTCTGCCACTGGGCGCATGGCGTGATGTGCTTCGTCGCAGGAGCTAGCAGTACCTGACCCATCGATGCAGAAATGCAATGGCCAACCTGATTCATGACCTGCTGATGACATCTGCAGCGTTTTGCTCAAAATCCTCTCAGATAATATCTCAAAACAATATACAGAAAAAAAAAACTCTTGTAGATCAGCAATACAGTCGCCCTTGTGAAGAGATTTGCGTTGAAAGTCCCCTTCGGCAGTCCGGCGCCCACAGAAAACTGGAAGGTCAATGCAAAAAGAAACTTGAGTGCATGGGGCCCTTGCCAATGTATGATGAACAGGTCAAGCCCTGGTAGCTTGAGAAAGGCGATTGCGAACTCTCTCTGCAACCTAGACAGTAGCAGCTTGGACTTCAGAGGGTCCAGAGGACCTGAGCCGGTAGGAAAGAAGGCTTAGCGCAGAGTTGTGCAGAAGATGCAGTTGTTGGAATGAAGCCGCTGTAGGAGAATCTACTCTGAATAAGACAAGTAAAATCCATGAAGTCTCCAAACTTCCAGAAATCCTTGGAGAGCAGGCAGCTGAGCAGGCTTGCCAGCTTCCCTGGCGGTGCGGCACCAGGCGCCGGCGACTGCAAAAGCGATTGGGAGTGAGGAAGGGTAAAAGGAGAACATGCAAAACATGCGGATGGGGGTTTGCCAGGGCTTGGAAGCTTGCAAGGTAAGTGCAAAAGCATTCACAACATGCAGTTCTGGTAGAATTCCCTTGAATTCTGAAGCTAAGCTCATGAGCACCGGGGAGTAGCAGCCTTGGCCATGCTCAATGCCATGCCAGGTCCAGTTCCCGGTGGAAGCAGGCCAGGATGCCTGGACAAGTCAGCAGCTTTGAGACCTCGCAGATGAATTGGAAAATGTCAAGAAGGCTGAGGAAAGCACAAGGAGCCAGGTGGCAATACACCCGGCATCAGCCTGGTCTGCGAACTCAAACCCCATCCAACATGACTGGAAGCTACAAGTAATCTCTCTTTCCAGCTCATGCCATCTCTTATCACCACCGAGGTCCAGGCCCCTTGCCAGCGAGGCCTCGGATGCTGATTGAAAATCTGCAGAAAGCAGCGAAGCTTGGGGCATCTTCCTTAAGGCTCCAGTTGCTAATCTAGGTGAATCTCACAGCGACTCGTCAAAAACAGAAGATCTTCGGTCATGAGATGACGCACAAACAAAATGCGTGATGCATTTCCACGGAGTGGTGTCTGTGACTGGTGATTCATGCCAATTCCATGTGCACCATTGCTGCCAGCACAAACATGTCTTTTGGCTCCGAGGCACCTTTGCCACCTTTGCCCTTGTCACCCGAGAGTGGGTCCTAAGTGCGAGACAAAGAGCAGCGGTGTTTCCAAATCCATGAGTGAGGCCCCTGCCTCCCCCTTGCCTCCAAAGCCAAACTCGGGCTTGTCAGGCTGCATGGCCATTCCCTTGCTCAGGACAGGCGCCAAGCCCTTGCCTGGGCCATCCTTGCCCTTCTCCCGACCTTTCAGAGAGAAGCTGGGGCCCATGGGATCTAGTCGCGCCCTTTTCAGATCTGGCCCATCTTCGGGTTGAGATATCCAATTTCCTTTCTCACTTCTGTCGCCCTTGCCACCCCATTTGGCAATACCTTTCCAGGCACCAGGTGCACCAGGTCCGCTGGGCACACCAGGCCCACCCGATGCGCCGTGTGCCCCGGGCACTTCACCTTTCTTGCCCCACTTGCCATCGCCTTTGCCCATCGCCAGCAGCCGATCTGGGAGGACCTTGGCAACCCAGCTGTTCTGGGCTTTCTTCTCAGGCTGAGGATTCTGAAGCCTCTGAGGCTTGGACTTGCTCAGGTCTGGGAGCGTCTAGCCATGCGCTTGGCGCGGTTCAGACTAACTATGAACGAGAGGTTGCCTTTTCTGTGGCTCAGGGTGACTTACGACACTTGGGTGACTGGTGCTCGTTTCCCTTGCTCTGGCTGTAGTAGGGCAAGGTAGCTAACCAACCCACGTGCACCTGCCGGGCACTGGGGTTCACGGCCGGCAGACTGCATTATTGGGTTGTGCGCCGTGGTTTGCCTCGCGCATATCATGGCATTATTGATAGGCTGCAGCCCAGCGGAGGCCACCAACATTGCAAGTGTCAGACAAGCTAAGCATGCAGCCAGTGGGGAACCGGCCAAAGTAACAATCTGATACTTTCTTACAAAGGGGATGCAAGGCTCAGTGAGCGCCATTTTGATGTAAGGCAAACGGAAACAAAGTCTAGCAGACCAAGAACAGGAGATGGAAGAAAGAAAGCAAGCGAGCGAGAGACACAGAGAGAGAGAGAGAGAGAGAGAATAAGAGAAAGGAAGAATGAAAGAAAGGAAAAAAAAAGGAGCAGGTATGAAGGGCGCAGAAGGAGAGAGAGACAGAGGGGAAAGCAACAACGAATGATGGAGAGAAGACGATCAATCAAAGCAGAAGACGAAGAGGAGAGAGAGACAGAGAGATAAACCCTTTGACCTTCATATCCCGAAAACCTGCGGAGGCCCCATGCGCGACCACGGAAAGAAGATCGTGCAGTTCTGGCAGGTGGCTGAGCACAGTTGGCAACGCCCTCAGAGTTTCTTGTCGAATGGGATTCCAACTTCGAGCGAGCTTGGCCCTAAATCCTGGTTCGGTCCCTCTCGGCAACAAGCGGGCATGCATGAAAAGAGCTCTGGGTTCGTGTGTTCGGAGCTGGCTTGGATCATTTCTCTCGGATTGTCTCTCCGTCCGACGCAGCAGATGAACCTATAAATAGAAGGAGCTAGATCTGCGGTTCAATGGCTCTCGTTTGTTGTGCTTTTTGATCGTACCCCTCCCCCCCAAACTGAGGTCTCCACCGGGGCATCGCCAGACTTGGATACAAATACAAGGATCTATGTCTGGCAAAGTCGAAACAAGCAACCAGCTACTTAGCTACTTGCTCTTCGCTTGCAAAAGACACAGTCAGAGAGAGAGAGAGAGAGAGAGAGAGCAGGGATAGAATTCTCTAAGTATGGAGTTCCTCACTTAGGTCCCATGGTGGACTCTGCAGCTTCGTCTGATACTCGAGACTTCCTGGAGGGTGATTCTCAGCAGATCCGTCCCAAGGCGGATGAGGTTGCCACGTGACTTTGTTACAGTTGGTTGAGCCCCAATACTCCGATGGCATTCAGATCGAGCTACAGCGTACCGGTTTATGGGGGTTGCTACATTGGCTGGCGGAACAAAAAATCCACCAGACCAACCCAGCACTAAAGACACTGCTGCCAACGGGAGAGCATAGTCGGCTGTCAAACACATACAATGCTCAGCACGTCCTGCAGACGTCTAAGCCTTCTTGGTGCGAGGACATGTGGGCACCAGGTTGCCGGGTCAAACCCCTTTTAGCCTGCACCGCACCCCTGTCAAAGCCAGTCGCTGTGCATGGAAGGTACGCAAGGACAAACAGTGGGGCTTACGCACGCCATCAGGGCAGTTTCTAGGGCCAGCACAGACATCATCTTCTTACATCGTCCCCTTGTCGGACGGTAAGTTGAATGTCTCTTCTTCGGTCCATCCCGAGGCCGCCGCGCCGGACTCCCTAAAGGCTGCGGAACCCCGGTGCCTAACTGATTTTTGCACGGGCTCCCCTCCGTTTTACATTTACAGGCCCCCAGCAAATGTAAAATCAAGGGTGCCTACCCGCCAATGAGTAGCCCATTAAATTTGATCTGGATGTCTCAAACTGGCATTGGTGATCCTATGCTTCCCCGTCTCCTCTCTCTTGTTCTTTCCCTCATCTCCTTCTGCAGGATTCTGCAGGCACGTTGTTTGCGCGCTGCTTGCGCTCACAAGCACTCACAATTTGCTGGAAACAGGCAGCATGCACAAACATCACACACAGCAGGGAATTTCTTCAATTGTTGTATAGCAGATGTAAAATTCTCCAACAACGCAAAACAAAAAAAATAAAATCGAGGAGCCTGGCCGACTAATTCCCACGTCTCTGGGCCCGAAATTATTATTCGAGAAATAATGTAAGGGCCCCGCCGGTTTACATTATTAGGCGTGGTGCTGCTGCCGAAACGCAAGCTCATGGTGCCAGCACGCGCCTACTACCTGCCTCGTTGAGACCCTGAGCTCTATTCATTGGTCACGTCGGGACTAGTTCGCGTGGGGGGGGGAGGGCGTGATCTCCCATGTGTTTTTTGCATTTCAGCTGAGGCAAGCCAAGTGGCCGAAGGTTTGCCTAGCTCATAGTCAGTTTCTGATCAGAGTTCTCACCCCTCGCCCTCGTCCGGAATCTCTTTTCGGGTTGCAAATAGTGAGAATTAGCCTCTCGCGCTGCGCTACCTAGACCGAGGAATGCACGCTTGGGGTTACGATGGTATCTGTTGCGTGGACGATATCCTAACGAGGAGGTTAATTCATGCTATCAATGCTCCCTGCGGAAACTGGCAGAGCAATTTTGATTCCATGGCGAATCGTAAAGAGCCTCTGGACCCACAGCATGCGCATGAAGCAGACTTTGTGGAGAGCTGCTTTGGCTCGGTGTTCGGGCTCGTCCTGAAATTTCTTTTCCAGTTGCGTGCATCGCGCAACTCACTACCCGTCGACCGACCGACGAAAGCCTTCGAAATTGGAAAGGGGGTCCTCCGATTCTTCAAAGCAACTCCAAATGCTGGCATTGACTTTGGCCCGGACCAGAAAGCCTGGAGAACATCAGCAGTTCTTGAGGACTGTTGTCTCAGAAAAACGGCGCAAATGTTCTCTGATGTCAGTTTTGGGCCAGCTGCTGGGTGATCTCACCATAAGGTGTAAATGTGATGAGGGCTGGGTCCCCAATCGCCTTGGAATCTTCGAGGCAACTTTTTGTCGCCTTTAGCAGCGCGGAGGCGGAACTCATCTCCCTTTTGAGGAGCTCCTCGAGGAGTGGCTGGATGTTCCTAATACTGCGACAATCAGGCGTCTATTTCTGCTACATGGGGGTCCCACTACTTGGCGATCCCGCCATTTGCGGCTTCGGCCCGCAGCATTGCAGGAACGTCTGGAATCAGGCGATTGGTCCCTGAGCCACTTGTCGGGCCAGCTTTTGCTCCTTAAGAGCGTTGATGGTGCTGATCTCCCTGAAGATGAGCATCTTGTCCCCTTCGATGTCTCGGTGGGTGCTCTGCGAATCAAAAGGTGCCTCTGGGCAAGCTGCCAGCCTTAAGGTCTTCGTGCCTTCCGAACTAAGGCGTCTCTCACAACAAGACGATGACCTTCCGGTCCCCGATTACCCCTCGAGCGCAGGAGCGCCTCATTCCATATATTCCATCAGTTGAGGATCTCCATGCTGAGCCACCGCCGCTCTCCCATCGTGTCCCTAGACCCACGCCACGAGCCAGGGCTTGGCGTGCACAACTGGCTCCAAGTATCTCAGACAACCCTGAAGCTTATTTTAACCGGGACGGGTGAGCGTTGACGTCAAGATCCTGCGAGTGCCGATATCAGGACGAGAATCACCGAACGGTACTATACCTTCCATGTGGCAAATGCACAGCCAGCAGCCTGTCATTCCCAACCATGACCTTGCCGGGTCCTCTTTTGCTGCCTTTTTATGTATACCAAGGCCTTTAGCCTTTAGCCTGCCCCGCGCTGAAGGTGTAGTAAGCTCCAAATGGAGCTGAGGCACCCAGCACACTTAGGCTACATTTGGGCTCAGCAAACCGTTGAGGGGGTAGTGACCGGGTAGTGCGTGTTGATGAGTTGTATGCTCTCTTGCAAGATTGACAGCATGACTTGTGCCTACCGCAGGTCTTCCTTCCACGTTCAAGCAAGACAGGTCTGTTTGAGAGTGTGGTAGGATTTTCTACTTGTAGTTACCCCGAACCGTGACCTCCCACCCTCAAGTTACTTGAAATACTTAGCCTCCTTGGAAGCCTATCCTTGATGGGCTTTTGGGCTGTCGGGAGCACACACCGAATGGTGCCCTTATACACGCTGAAGTACCCCGATCGCCCCTATACCTGAAGGCACATATGATTCGTACCAAGCCCACGGGAACCCGCGTACAGCCCACGGACTTCACCCGGCATAGTCTTAACTCTGATCCTGAGCGTAGAAAGCTTCACGCATATGCCTGGATAAATCACAGTAAATGCCCCATGAAAGCACCCTGCAAAATCCCCTACAGAAGCCCCCTTGAAGAGACTAATTAGGCTATGGCTTACGTAATTAGCAACGCGCAACACATGCGCACATAGAGGTGCCCGACTGCAAAGTAATGTTGGCAAAGACTTGCTGCAGAATGAGCCAGAGCATAACTTCTTCCTGTGATTCACCAAAACCACTGCAGCAGCACCCCTTCCGCAAAAGCAACATGCTAAGCTGCTAGACCCGCGTGACAGAACACCACAGCTGCACAGCTGCACATCTTCCCCATTCAGCCGACAAAGCCTTTTGCCTCTATGCCTCGGTTTACTTTCCGGATTGGCTAGTCCTATGCTCTGGGTTTCGGGGTTGGGGACGGTCAGGGGTTCAGTGGCTTGGGGTTTGAGGCGGGGGTTTTGTGGTTTAGCCACGGATGCTTCGTTTATACATTTTTTCGGACCTTTTTGTGCCACCAATTTGCTAGGGAAGGCTGATCCACGGTAACTCATCCTGATGTTTGCTCTTCATTTCGCTCACCTTGGTCGTCCATCACACCAGTCTCATCGGCATTGACGAGTCGTCCGCCCAGTCGCAAGCCAAGGCGACGCGTGGCGCGGCATGGCGCGGCTGCAGCTGTTGCAAGTGGCATGCAATCGCTCCGTGGCAGGCACCGTCCCTTGCAAGCACCCTGGCTCCTTGGACATGTTCGGGGATGTTAGCTCTCCACCAACCCTCGGCTTGCGGCCATAGGCCACCACAAACCTCCACGCTGCGGCACCATGATGAATAACAATCAGCAAGCCTGCACGGTGAAGGGCTGGTGCACGAAGACCACGAAGTTAAAGGCCTGAGGAGAAAAAGGGCCATCCCGGTCTCCATGGATGCCAAGGAGACGGCAGATGCAGCTTCGCTTGCTGCCATCTTCATGCGAAGCCACATGGACTGCGTACTTCCCGGCTGTGGGCTCACGGATTACGCGTCCAGTGTGAAAGTCAGATTTTCCAGTCGCTTGGTAAGGGACGCTTGGACTTCCACGAAAGTCTCATTGAGGCTCTCCTGCTTGCAGGTGATCACCAAATCACCAAAGCATGTTATGCAAGTTGGCCTAGGCCGGTTGTGACGGCTAGTGACTAGTGTCCCGGGTGCACATCATGGTCACTGGCTCAGTACATGCTGCTTGCATGCAGCACACAGACACGCGTCCTCATAAAACCACCTGCGGAGTGTTCGGCCACTGGGCCACATTGTCATCAGCACAGACTTGGCATAACAGTCTGCCTCGTCCAAGGGGCTGGGCAATCCTGCATGAGAGCGATTACTACTCTTGCCTCATGGCTCACCAAACCTGGCTAGCCCCCGCAGTCCTAGCAGCTGTGCGGCAAAGCGGTGTGCAAAGATCGCGTTGCCGGCACCATACCACACCAACTCGAGGTCAAATTGCTTCATCAGCCTCACCTGGCTCAGGGCTGCTTGTTTGGGCATGTCAAGCGCAACGATTCGGCCATGGGCATTCCGGCCCCTTTCCCCAGGCCCACGCTGATTTTCCTAAGCCGTGTGCATGGACACCCGCATAGGCAGGCCTGGTAGCTCAGCGAGCAGCCTCAGCGACCAGCTGCTTGCTGCGGAGAAAGAGTTGACAGCACTCTCGATCTTGAGTTGGGGCTCGAGTGAGCGCTGATTCGAGAACTTCGGCACTCAACCGCTGCTTACCATGCAAACGCATTGTACAGAATTGCAGTACAATTTTAACCAGTGTTAACCGCTCGGCCTTATGTCCACAGTTTGCTGCCTAATATCAGCTGCACCGACTGTCAACAGAAATGCACTGCAATTGAGCGAGCAGCCCCATGGGGCTGCCGGAGGCCACGCTAGGAGTTCACTGTCATGTAGTGCAAAACGAAGCGGTGGGGGTACACCATCATATACCTCCATTACGACGAACTTGGCGAGGACTCTCCACAGAAACCTTGGCCGATGCATCATCTGCATGACGTCTGGGCTGCTGTGAGAGCTTAGGCATCAGCGCCGCAGCGATGTCGCAATCCGCCCCGTCCAAGTCTACTTTCAGAACGTCTAAGCGAGGTAGAGATGGCAAATCGAGAGCAGGCCTGATGCACGTCAGCTTGCATCGCAGACAAAATCAAATGCGATCAAATGCGGTTACGTATGCTGCTTCAGAACAATGACCCGAAGCATTGGGACGCAAGAAGCCTTGAGACGCCTTGAGAATGCTCACAGGACGTCAGTTCATGCCTAACATGCCTTCACGTCCCCAGACAAGCCCCCATCTTTGGCCCAGCATTTTGGAAGATCTTTGGCCCGCAGCGCCTCTTCTGCCCTCGGAGCCACTCTGGCAGTTGAGCCACGATGTCAGGGACGGTTGACTTCGTGGCTTTCATGCAGAGAAGCAACACGTGCGGAAGGTTGCGGGCGTGCTGCAAGCAGAACCTGAGAAAGCATGGGAAAATGATGGGGGGTGTTCTAAATAGCTCTGGGGGGTTGCCCAGGAATCTCTTTTCCAAAGTCAGTTCGGAAATCATAGGGGTGGGGATTGCACAACCTCGCCTCGCTGAACAGGAGGACAGCCCAAGCACTTCGAGGTTGTCTAACTATTTTTTGCCTGGCATCTGCGTGCGAACGAGCTGCTCGTGGTTCATCTCCACAGCAAGCGAAAAGCGCACGTCTCCAGGGTTCAGAAGAAGCGTGTACAAGGGATCCTCATGCACGCCATCCTTGGCTCCCACGTTGACGAAGGTATCCTGAGCAAGCGCTGCTTGATGCTCGTAGCATGAAACGAGGTCTCACAAACAATTTTGTCCAGCCGAGTCAAGACCAAGAAGCCAGTTGAGGATTTCCTCTTAGCAGCCACCTGGGTAAATGTGGTGACAAGTGAGCGCGCTCGAACCGACATGACTTCTTGCTACTGGTTTTGGCAAACTTTGATGAACACATGGATTCCCAACAAGGAAATCTCAGGTGCTCTGTTGCCTGGCAGCTAGATCGCCACTTGCTGCCTTGATCTAGATGAGCCCTCGCGCAGGACAGGTCCGGCTAAGTGTGTCTCGAGTGCTTAGCACAGTGCTAGACACAGAGTTCCTCAAGCAGGTCATATGACACAATTCTGCGGTGCGGTCTGCCTACCTCCGGGCCAGCCAGGGCAGAGCGGTGGTATCTGCCATGGCGGCCTTTCAGCTTCAAGAAAGTCGCAGCATCTGGCATCAAGCCGCTGCTGGTTTTAGGCGGGTAAGTGACAGAGGTGGAAGAAGAGAAAGATTAGACTTGCAAACAAAAAGAAAGCTTCACAGTCAGGCATGTTGACAGGACACTGAGATGCTCAAGGCGTGCAGGCACGGCCGTGCCGGCCGCACATCGAAATCGAGGCATGAGGTAAACATGAAGCGGTTGTAAAAGCGCAGGCAGTGCTCACATGCTTGAAGCAGGCCTCCTTAGCCGCCTCGCGCTGCTCACACGGCACACCGCAGCCCCGCCGTGCCGCCAGCTTTGCAGCGAAGTCCGTACTGGCAGAGCAGGATGCTGGGTTTCGGGGCAATATTGCTCAACGCGCGTGTCAGGCCAGAATGCAAAAGAGAAACTTCAAAGAGTAGGCGTTTTGTCAAAGTGCCGTGAAACAATCAGCGAGTGACTGCAATTCACGCTATGTCAGTGCAGACCAGAGTATGATAGCCGTGTGGCAGGGGCCAGAACCAAGGTCTCACATACGTTGCCAGGACCCGGAAAACTTGTGGAATGCTGAACAAGAATCGCGCACACAACGTATAAGTAAGCTGGAACACAGCCGTAGCCTGAAACACGGATGCAGCAGAGATGGCATTTAGACGCTGACACATTCACCTTGCAGGCCTGCGGCTCATGTAGCGGGAGTACTCCCAAAGAGCCTGTGGCACAACCTGAGAAGTGCCAGGTTGTCAACTCAGAAGGCGTTGCGTTTGGGCACCAGCCGGCTAGACTACAATTCACAAGCCGTTTTTCCAGAGCTTGGGTTTCTACATCTGAGATGGTTCGTGCGATCTCAATACTTCTTCCTACCTGGATTTGGGTGAGGGCTGTCCTGTCAAGCTGAACATAAGTCTACACTTCTGCAACCGCTCCTCTGCATGGTCATGGAAGAAACGGTGATAGAAGATGGGCGGGTCGATCTGACCATTCACGCGGACCATGTCCATCACAATGGGGCTCGTAGGGCCTATGGTCAGGGATCTGCCGGCCTGATGCCTCTTAACATTGATGCACTAGCTTTGTGCATGGCTTTTCAAAGTGATGATCCGCAGAACGAGGTGACGTTACAAGCCCTGAGCCCGAATCCAACGCCAAAACATGCCAGACTCAGTGCCCAAGCCTATGAAGGGCAAATCTGGTCTCCAGTCGGTGCTCAGGAGGCCCAATTGCACAAGCTCCTGCGATCTCAGCCGGCTGAGCTTGCTGTTCGATCTATGGTTAGATCGGGTTCTGCATGTCTGGCTGCGGCCGAGGAACTGCGAACGCCTCACTCGGATCATCACTGAGGGTGTGAAACTTTTTCAAGGAGAATAAACACTCGGATACACTGCAGCTATCCAGCTCGTGTGGAACTCCGTTCCTTGGGCAAAGCTCCATAGCTGAGGAACACGATTTGTTACAACAACCACGACCAACAGCTGGGGCTCAATGAAAAAGATCGCGGAGGCAGCAGAAAGCCATAGAAGCCACCATCTGCAGCTTGTCGGCAGCATTTCCCGCCAACAGCATCAGCAATGTCAAAGCCTAAGGCTAGAACAGCATTTACTTTTTCAAAGACGCTGTCCGAGTCTGCACGTAACCCTGCTTGCCCTTTGCAAAGGGCTTCATTCAATCGCAGCTTGGACAGCTCAGGCACAGTTCTCGCTGCCAGCCCTGCAGCAGCGTCGCAGCCTCTGAGTCTGCACACGCCATGCAGAGATGGTACATTTCAGAACACACTAAAGCATTGCCAAGCCCTCCAAGCATCATCCGGGGCGCAACGCCTCTTCTGTCTCTCCGGTGGCCCTTGCCTTGGCCCCGTACATGATCATCCCCAGCGCGAGCTGTTCAAGAGCGCTTTACCTACAGTACCAGATTTGGCAGTCCCTGATATTTCTCCTGTGGGTCCATCCTGTGAGCCTGCAGCCTTGCCCATGCTAAGGCAGATTCCTTTTTTGGGGACCGTCGAGGTCCGGACACACCAAGCCGCCGGCGACAGCGGAGACAGCTCAGCTCTCAGGCTGACCGCCAGCCCTGCCAAGCACACAGCGAAGCACAACGAAGCAGAGTTGGTCAAAGAAGCTGCCCTTTTGCCCTTCTGGGCGCCCTCGGTGCCTGACCAGAAGCATTTCCGCTTGAAGTTGCACATGACATCCCCATTGTAATCTGGGGCAAGGCACAGGCACGTGATCCTGAGGAGCAATCACTAAGAACCAAGCACATCGCGCAATCGCTGGCAACTTTGTCTCTCAGAACTTCCAGACAAGACGACATCCGAAGAACAGAAGTCCCGCAAGTTTTCGCCTCCAGAGCGAGTCCTAGACTCTGACTATGGTTCAAACAAAATGCGGCGTCGCATGACAGCTTTGAGAAACAGTGAAACAGAGCGTCGTTCCGATGCGCCCAGATCGTTCTTGCGAGTTCGAGACTTAAGTCTGCAGAAGCCGCCCTGGCCTTTCAGTGTTGATCTGGTGCATCTGATTTCAGGCGGCTTTGCGCCGAGCTTCTCATGCAGGAGGATGTGGAAAGGCACCCGCGGATTCCAACCGATCTTGAAAGCATTCAAACAGGATTGGCAGGATTCGAAGCTAGGGGAAAAGACCTTTCACATTCTCACCAACCAATGTCAGGGGCCACATGTGAGTCCGACACGGCACATCTCGCAAAAACTGACAAGACGATCTACATTGGCAGGATTGGTTACAATTTCACATGCAGCCCTGCCCTGGACCTCAATCCAAGAAAGCAGCATACCTGCAGAGGCCTTGTCCCAAGGTTTGCACCCTTCCGGGCTTAGGTGGCCGGGCATGCAACCTGAAAATTCTGGGCTTCCAGCTTCTTCACCCTGGTCGCCCCTGCAACTTCAAACGTGGGTTGCTGGAATGACTTCTGAAATCTTATCATGATCTTTCCAGGTAACAAATCCCGACAAGCATGGCAAACCGTCTCCCGCAACCCAAACTTACATACTACTGTTGCAGCACCGAATGAGCATTGAAGGTGCACTTGGACCTGAGCAACTTTGATGCAGCTCTGCGATCGGTGCCCAACAGTAGGTGCACGGTTCCACTCTTGACGAACAGGGTCTTGTGTTGCCACAGTCTGCCGTCCTTCAGGGCCAGGCTGCAGGGCTTGCAAGCCAAAGGGTCTGCTGATCCACAAGACTCCTCGACAAGAAATACATTTTTTGAAAGTCCTGTACAGACAAGGAACAGGGATGGGAGTGCCTCGTGTCTGCCGCAGAGGCCAGCCGGAAAGAAGTGGCTTGAAACTATTCTTCCACCAACTTGGACAACAGCATGGCTAAACCTCTAGCTCTAGATTGGACCTCCATCCAATATCAGTAAGGCAGCCCAGGAGCAAACCTTCCGAAGCACCAGGTCAAAGCGCTCGGCATGCAGAGGCCTAGTGTCAAAACGGCTCATGATAGCTCTGGATAAAACAGCGTCCAAGATCAGCTGTGCTGGCCAAGCTGCGCAGATGTTCAGCCAAAGAATGACGTTGCCCTCCGATCGGATGAGCCCTCCGTGCCAAGCTTGAGGGTCTGCCAACCAGTGCAGGTTGGAGCAGAGGAAAGCCTCGCAGTAAAGGTTAGAGTCTGTTGGCACATCAAAAGTGGCAACGATGGAAACCCAACCTGGCCCGCACCGTTGACTTTCGGGAACCAAAGGGGTGTCTTGCGGCTCAATGGGCTCTCCTCAAAGCACTTACTGCTTGGAGAGTTTGGAGCTTGCAAGCAGCCTCGTACGAATGACAGACCGTCCCTCAATCTGATGTTCCTGGAGACCGATTGTGCACAGCGGGATAGCTTCTCCAGAGGTTAGGGGCAGCCAGGCGTTGAAGTTTGTTTCCTGGCAGACAAAGACACAAAGCTTACACCCAACATCACCATGCATTTGTCCAAGATGAAAGTATGCAAGACAAAGGCTAATGGCATGCGGCCAAGCATCGCCAATATTGATAAAGCTCCGGGCTTCATCATTGGAAAGGACAGAATCGCTCCGCATAGCTCTCAAAATGGAGCTCCAGGACTGGTAAGCGTGCGGCGCACCCCAGGGTCCCGCAACACAGAGATCCTCCAGTCCTGCAAAACTGCTGCTTCGACCCTCAAAACTATCCTTTGCAGTACAGGCGAATGCAAAGAACTTAGACCAAGACGTGCGCAAGCTAACACGACCGGTCAGCAACACTTGGCCTGGAGCGGTCGAAAGCTGCGTCGCGTAGCCGGCACCGTACTTTGCCGAGGGCTCCGGAAAAACGCCCAGAAACTTTACCAGCTCCTTTCCCCAGCCTGGGAACGAAGTTAAGGGCAATGCTGCCTGCGGCGCCAGTTTGACACACCCAAAGATCCCTCGCGTCCAAGTTACCGCCATTGACCGTCCAAGCGCTGAAGCAGTTCAGCACGGCAGTACCACCACGGTCGCAAAATCTAGACAGCGTTGCCTGCATACTGCATAAACATTAGAAACTCAATCCGACTTCAGACAAATAACATGTTGAACAGCACGTTCAGTAGCAGCTGCTGTCGCTTGCTCTGCAACCCAGTGCCTGCTCAGCCGCTGTCAATGCCCTCTTCGCACTGGTCGTATGGAGGAAGACGAGATCTGCTGTCTCCAGGGCAGCATCCGAGAGCTCGGCCACTGATCGGAACTGCACCTGAAAAAGCGCCGTTGTGGCTGCTCTGGCCGCAGAAAAGCCTGACCACCTCAGGGCCCAAATCTTCAACTGGACGTGACGTAGGATTATCCGGCATATCAGGCATATCAGGCATATCATGTCTCTCTGGGGCCGCAGCTCACAAAAACTGCCGTCCTCACTGCGTTCTAAGTTCAAGGACACGATGGTGAGAGAAGGCCTGCCACAGGCAGCAGAGCGCCATGTCGTGCACAGGACAGTCGTGGAATTGTTGATGTGACGTTCTTCACGCTCGCCCTCTAGGAAGCAGCCTTGCATCCCGCCACGCCACGCATGGACATCGACGGAAGGCGCCCCTGCAGCCCGCAGAGAGCTAGAGACATATTGAAGCTAAATCCTGCCCCGTGGCATGCTTAAGATGCGAGCCTCCAGTGTTTCTTGCACTATACCATCTACTTACTGTGCCACGCGAGAGTTGTACACAGCTTAACTTCGCGGCGGAATTAGTGAAGCAAAGGAAGTTTTAGCATACGTCCATCGGGAAAACCTATGTCGTTTGCTTCCCTGTAACTCTTGCCTGTGCTGTCCAGATGGCATGCTCGAAGTTGCACAGCTATGTGGGACTGGGCTTAGCAATACTCCCCAACTTTTTTACGGGCAAGTTTCTCGAATGCATCTCCAGATGAGCGGGATCTGGCATGGCAGAGCAGGATCTGTGAACTTAAACCTCCAAGGGTCCAGAAGTCTTCTACTTTGCTTCACTGGTCATTAGATTCGGGAGCTGAAAGTCTTGGCTTCGGGACCGCCGCTTGGCCCAGCAGAGTCGGTGGCAACGGCTGCACTGCGGTTGCGCCAGGGTCCGGTAGCGCGAGGCGCCACCCCAGTCCTGACTTTGAGGCAGAAGATACGCCGTCTTTTCCTACAGTTCAAAAGCTCCTGCAGAAAGTCTCTGAGGAGCAGCTGCATCCAGCGGCCTTGCACAAGAACGTCCACCTTGCCAGGCAGACCAGCTACTTACTACATCCGGCTTTGTAGCTATGCAAGCTCGTCCACACCGTCTGGCCTACGAAGAGTTAGAACGCACACCATCACACTTCAGATAAAAGTTCTGCGCTACAGCTCCACAGCATTCCACAGCCGCATGCTTCTGCAGCTGTCTTGTCGATTGCCGCCTCTCGCCACATCCGGCAAGCTGTCTGCAGCTTCGCAAGCTCGTGCGCATCAGCACGAGAGATGACAGGAATCAGTACGGCTCTGAAGTCCACATCCGCAGGGCCACCTCAGCCATTTTCCAGCAAACCAATCAATCTTGCACGGAATACTGCTGAATGAACATGTCAATCCGCATGCTCCCTCGCATCAGAATGCAGGCCTGAGGGTTCCATGGCGAGGCCGAATCGAAAAACGCGGATGTGGGTGATTTGGTGCTTCTTTTCCTACTACTGGGCTCACTGGAGAATCGCGTTGACACTGTTGCATCTTCGGGCTTTACGTGTGTGTGGAAAATGGCATGCACCTTCCTTGTTGGTGGCCGCTCATGGTCGAGTTGGCGGCTTGCAGCCCCTGATGCGAGCGTGCATCATCGTCTCAACATGCTTCTCGTGTGATGGTGACATATGGTGACCAGACTGGCACGGCACGAAAAGCTTGCAATGCCCTCAGTTTTTTGGCATGGCATAAGCATCCAGGTGGCCCTTCATCAGCGGTGGACTGTTCGCCCAGCGCAGCATTAAAAGAGTTGGCGTATGAAGGCTGCTCAGTGCTTGCCACCCTTTCGCGACCCTTTGCCTGTAGCCAACACCAAGGAGCACAGAATGCCAACGCCAAGGACATCATCCTCCGTGCCTTTCCCAGCTTTCCCCCCTTTGCCGGATTTACCCTTGCCATCCTGCCACTGTGTGCAAAAGCGGATGCAAAAAAAGGCCAGGCCTATCAAAGCACAGCGATTGCCTTGCTTCGGCCTTTGCCGTCCTGCGTGATGAATTCAAGGCATCATGCCATTCTGCCCAAGGCTCAAATAAAGGCCTACCACAGTCTACCATAGAAAACTGGAAAAATGAGGGTCCTTGCCACCCTTGTAAGGCTTTCCATGGCCTTTGCCATGGCCCTTTCCCTTTCCCTTCTCCTGCCACTGTGTGCACGCGGTCATTGGGATCATAGGGATCTGAACGTCAGCAGCTGCCTGGGCCTCCATTTGTGCCATAGCTGCCTGTGCCGCTTCTCGCCCAACACAGGGAATTCAGGACACCGCTCCTTGAAGACTACCGGCTGATCAGCACATGGCCTTCTTCAAGAACTCTTCCTGCAAAGCTGCTGCACAATTCGGCAGCATGTGTCCATACCGAAAAACGCAACAGTGCAGGAGTCCATCCAAGGCAAGAGGTGCACATGTTTCACTTTGCACATGCATCCATCGCAAGTTGCAAATGCCAGGAGAGCTGCACTGCAGGTTTGCACCTCGTGTTCCCCACTGACGTGGCTAACAGGTAAGCCTTGCAAGACACGGGGCTCAGAAGCAGACTTCCGGAATGACAATCAGAAGAGCTAACCGCGGCTAACCGGGCTCCCAGCGCACTGTCATGGATTGTTCCACAGAGCTCTCATCGTCCTGTTGCGGGCGGTCACCATATACCTACCTGGTACTGCTCGAAAGGTGCCCCTTTCATCAGGAAATCTTCGGCAAAACATAGCTGTCTTTTTTGGGCTCTGCGAACTTCTCAAGGAAAGATGTGCGCTGCACCGTGCTAAAGCAGTGGTGCAGGAAGCAATTCAATCCAAGGATAGGTTGCACCGGTTCGAATAGAGTTCCCGTTCAATTTAATTTCCATCTGGGTGCTATGTTCAATTCAAACTAAATCTTATGAACGTCGAAACCAAACACCTTGAATTCTTTGCCAGTCCGCCCACTCTGGGGCTCTGTGACAGCCAGTTCCAGACGCCACCATCATCATAGCTGTCACAACCTGCGGCTCAGGCTTCAGGCCTCGCAGGAACACGTCACAACATCTACCAGCCTCTACTAGCCTGTGTTCCCTGAAAAACACAACAGAAATGACAACATGGTGCCCGACACGGTGCCTTTTTCGGCGGAGTTGCAGCTTTGTCCATAGGGAGGAGGAGAGCCACACCCTGCAGAGAGCTATGAAGGTTGAAACCCCTGCACCGATCCCAGGGCCCTACAAAGGTTAATTCGGGCTAGCCAGTGTCAACGGTACTTGTCAACTGAGTATCAGCAGGTTCTGGTGAGATAGGAAATGGCCCGCGTCATCAAGCCGGCCTGGGCCATAAGGCCGTCGAAGCGGTCGAAAGCCGTTGACAGCGACTCAGCAGCCGAGGCCACAAAGTCAGTGTCTTTGTCCTGGCATAGCTGCAACTCATTCGACAACCCTCCCGAGCGTGATCCGGCTCTAATAACTTGCGGACTCAAGTTTAAGCATCTGCAAAACACGCGAGTGATATCTGACACATGCATGACTCCCAAGCACACCTCAGGTCACCTCTGATGAGCCTTGCACCATCCAGATTCTAGTTATTTGCAGGACTGCATTCAGAGGAGTTTGCTGGAATTCATTTTGGAAGGCACTGCGAGACGAGCCTCACGGATGATCTGCTCGCCGTGCTTCGCATTGGTCAGTTCCTCCAGGCTCTGACTGCTGGGCTTTTGGCTTTCTAGACTCTAGACTGTGTGGACCTCATATGACCACGCCTCCCTAGCTCTGCACATCTTTGCACTGCGCTCCTTCTGCAGGCCGACAGCTGAAACCAGGGTGATCAGGTCGAGCATCTTCTGGAATCCTGCAGGATTCGTGACGCCCAATGCACAGCAGGAGCAGCATGGAGCAGCCTGAAGCGGCTGGCTTGCAGCTGGCGAGCACGCAGGACCGTGGGGGTGCAGGTGTTGCAGCTTTTCGAGCCATAAAGCGCCGGAAAATGCACAAACCAATCAGAAAATGCAACAGGCTTCTTTTTGTTGGTCACTTGGAAGATCGTGCAAGACAAACACCCGCTCTTAAGTCAATGCGACTTTGTTTAAACTCCCAAGTGCTGAAGTTGATTGTTGACTTCAAACGGTGCATGGCATCCCCACAGGTGGTCCACTGCCATCGCTCCTCCGTAGAAGGCTTGATCTTCTCTTCGACTGCGGCAGCGACTGCGGCAGCTGCAGCGGTCTGCAGGCGTAAAACCATCTGAGTCTTGCTTTGCAAGGATTCTGCTGCTCAGGCAAGGATCGTGACTTGTCATGCAATACCCAACCAGCATTGCATGTAGTTACAATGTAATTCCTGAATTGAACGGCCCAGTCCAGGAGCTTGCCCTGATGCCAGTACCCTGCTCGCCTTTTCTCGTTTTTGGGCCGGGGCTTCATCGCCTTCGTCCTTGCCCAACACCTCCTCCAGGGGCTTGTCCTGTTTGCAGAACGGATGCCCAGCAAGATCTTAGCAGACAGGTTATCCCTCTTTCTTGGCACCACATGCACCCAAAACCTGAATCGTTCACATGTGTTCATGTGACGAGGCATGCCTCCACCTCCTCCTCAGCAGCGTCGTCTTTGTCTGCAGCGGCATCCTCCACAGCTTCCTCCAACGGCTTGTCCTGTCCATGCGCCTTACTGTAGGGCCTCAAAACAGTACGTCAAGACCTCTCAGTCCTCATCAGTAGCAGCCACCGCTGCATCTTCAGCTTTTGGGGTCTGCGGAAATCAAAGCAGCGCGAGCTTTCTCCCCCTGTCCATGCCCAGAAAGGACTCTGCCTTGTCTACTGTGGCCCTTTTTCGCTTGCGTCCCTCTGGAGCTTGGCCACTTGGCCAGCACCTTGCACGAAGGGAGACGTCGTAATATCTAACCAAAGGCCGTACCCTAACCCGAAAACAAGTATCAACGGAAGACCGGTCACGTACGTATTTCGGCTTCACACCGTAAAGACCCAATTCTGAGAGCTGGCACGCACCTGTCTTTCCTGGCTTCTTTGCGCTGCAGGTCTGCTAGGTCAGGGAGCTTCCTCAGAAAGCTTCCCTGTGATGCATAATGGTGCACCGACTGATCAAACTTCATGCTGCAACAGCTCACACTGAGCGCTGCTTCGTTCATTTGCTCAGGAGAGGCAACCCCCACCACGTGGAATTAACAGATCTTAAACTATGCCTTCACATGCGTTCCGCTTGCTTTTCAAACCTAAGATGAGAGGAGCACATGACCACTGTGATGTGCATCCTCCCGGCTTCTACATCTGCCTTTAGAAAGTGCGAGGCACGGCTGGGACTCAATGCATGGCTGGATCCATAAGCTCTTCATCAGGGACCTCCTCCGCTAAGCACATGATCCCATACCTGAGCGACATCTCGCCGCTGCACGAAAGTTGGGCCTTGGAAGTGACTTCGTGGCGGCCAGGGAGCTCCTGCAGCTCCTCGGTGATGTCAAGCGCTCGCGCCTCTGTGCACCTCTCCACCAGGATGGCCTTGCAAGAACAAAACCACTTCCCAGATTGCATCACTGCAGAGCTGCGACCGCGAGTCCTGACCGACTCCTGGAGGGTCTTTTGTTGCCTTCGCAGAGGTTTGGAGTTCAAAGGTCTGGAAATGATTCGGGATTTCAACTCTGTCTTCCAAGGGTGGTTAACCAGCAGCATATGCAAAAATCGCGCTCTTGGGCTCTTCTCACTGCGGATTTCGATCCGGATTCTCTCCACAATCTTAGCTTCAATTCATTCGGTTTCACCTTTGGCTTGCTGTGAGTAATGTTTGGGTGGCCCTGGCTGGGGACGCCGCCCGCAACGGTGCCATGCACATCCCAAACTCTTTGGCACCTGGGCTCGCACACATCTCAAACCCTTTTCCATCTGGGCTTGAGCACTCGCCAGATCAAGCATAGACATCTCGGATACTCAGCTCTCATGACTGAGTCTCCAAACACGGCTCAACACTTGCGTTTGGCATACCTCATACAGAACAACTACGTTGTGCTCCAACCGTTGATAGTGGGATTGACGAAGGATACCGAGGTGACCTTTCACGGTAGCGTTTGGCAACAGAATCTGCAAGCATAGAAAAGGCCTCAACATCCGCAGATAGCTGGGGAGTCGCGTCAGCAGAGACATGTCAATGTGCTGCCCCAGACAAAATTGCATGAATCCATGCTTTCTGTTGACGAACAAAGCTCTATAACATCCCAAGCCCTAAACCCCAAACCCTAAGGCCCTAAACCCCGAACCAGAAACAATCTCCCAAACAACCCTAAGCCTCTAAGCCCAAAACAACCCCTGAACCCCAAGCTCTGCCCCAAACCCGAACCCCTAAGCAATTCTAAACAACCTAACACAGACGCGCTTGCTGTAGAAAATCTCCAGCTAAACAACCCAAAAACCTAAACAACCCCACAACCATAAACAACGCTAAACCCTAAAGAAGCCCAAACCACCGACCCTTCGTACACAACCCCAAACCGTAAACCCTCAACAACCCCATGCCCTTCACGCATCCCT